TTTACATTTGCTGTTTTTATATTTGTTTTATTCATCTGTTATATGCTAGTTACTCATCTGGATTCTATTGGTCTCATTAAATGGTATAGAACAACAAAAAAAAAAGAATTGTAGCATCTCCATGTACTACTTTGTGGCAACACATTATTGTATCAAATTAGTATTTAAATAATAGTTCTTTATGAAATTTGTTGAACTTCCCATTTGACAAAAAGTCTGGGTAGCATATAACAGATGAATAAAACAAATATAAAAACAGCAAATGTAAAAATATAAAAATCCACCTTAGAGTTAAATATTATACAAAGAAATATACATATTTGTACATATTTCTTTACTATAGGAAGATCCTGTTTTGATTCGACATTTTAAAGGCCACAAAGATGCAGTCACTTGTGTTGCTTTCAGTCCAAATACTAAAGTGCTTGGTAAGTCCACCTGAAGCATATCTGAAAATGTTAATTGTATGATTTCATAGTCATAGTGTCCTCTCTTTAGATTAAAAACAAATGTAACTAGGCTACTTGCTGAACTCCATACTTTAGGACAATTATAACTCCAAGATAAGAGTTATGCTGCCACAGATTATTACTCTACTCTGTAAGTAGTATCCAACTCTTTGGTATTGAAGGTAGGCTTAATAGAGTTAAATAGGTTCTAGAAGAAACCTATTGAACTATATTAATGTTGCTTAACATAGCAGAATATCTTCTACAGTGAAAACAGTTATGGAAATGTATAGATAAAATCTTGCCCTGTAATGGTATAGTTGTCAATAGAATCAATTAAAAGCATATAAGAAGTAGGTCTTACCGTGGACAGATGTATACATTTTCCACAGATAGTAAAAGTTGTTTTCCTATAAACGTTCATGTCTGATTCTCAGAGAGTGCTTGGACAAGTTCCTGCAATTTTCTGGGTTTTAGAAGTGGTTTGTCATTATCTCCTTCCTAGATGGAAGAGAAAGTAATGGGCCCAAGATTTTAATCATTTGGTATTTGCCAATGGAAATTCAGCAAGACAGATAATAGACACCTGTCTATAGACAGACAGACACTGATTACACCATTTCTGTTTTCACTATTCTATTTCTTTTCAATATAAACAATATTAAGGTAGTCTTTGTTTAATGACTCCGATTGGAACTAGGGGTTTCATCACTAAGTAAACAATCATTAGGCAAAATATGCGACCACAATGCTTAGCAATGGCAGTTACAGTAGTTCTAGTTGCAGCAGAATGGAACATTTAGGTATGGACCCTTGACTGTGCCTCCTTTGCCTCCTGCCTTAGCCCATTTACAGCCAGCTGTCCTCCTCCACTGACCCTCCATGGCCAATGGGCCCCTGGCCCTTCGTCCCGGCCCATTTGCTCAAACACCATTTGACTCGGGCTTTTGGCTGCATGGGACAAATAGCCCCCAGCCAATTGGGTGGCAGGCAAAAGCAATGGTGCTATGGGGCAGTGTGCAGTACAAGATTTTTTTAAAAAAAT